TTGCTGTTGCCTCGGCAAGCTCATGAGATGCCACCTTGGTGCTGTGAGGTCCATCCTGTGGACACAAGGCGCCCTGGGTGCTCTGTCACAGGGAGCGGGGCGTTGAGCCCCTCCCATCATTTCTCATCCCTCCTTAGACCGAGTTTCGGCTGGGTGTCAGGTTTTACACAGCAGAGCAGCCAGCCGCCGCCATCCTGCACCTGGAGAAGGCGCTGGAGGAGTATTTTGTGGCAGACACCGAGTGCCGTGCGCTCTGTGAGGGACCCTATGACTACGAGGGCTACAACTACCTGGAGTACAATGCAGACCTTTTCCAGGCCATCACAGGTGGGAGCTGCGCGTGCTGCATCCCATCTCAAGAGTTGGGGACAGTCCTGGGGGGTGGTGGTCCCCAAAGAGGTCCCCAAAGACCTGGGGGGCGGTGGGTCCCCATAGAGGGCAAACCCCATCCTAGGTTTCGCTAGGAGGAGCGTGGCCAGCAAGTGGCAGGAGGTGTTTGCCTGCGCTCAGCACTGGGGGCGATGCCCAGGAACCCCCCAAATTCCAGAGGGATGTGGAGAAACAGGAGAGGGACCAGCAGAGGGTCAACAGGATGCAAGGGTGGGAGGCTGAGGGTGATCACTCCTTCCCCAGAGAGCAGCACAGCCCCGCCACCGATCATGCAGAGGTGGGCGACCACCATCCTTGGGCGTTTCCACCACTGAAAAGCTGTCAACAGCCCTGCTGCGAGCAGGAGGTTGGAGCGGAGACCCCCAAGGTCCTGTCCACCACCCCTTGGGCCACCGTGTGCAGTGACACGAGGTTTTTCTCCACCAGATCACTACATGCAGGTGCTAAGCTGCAAGCAGGGCTGCGTTACGGAGCTGGCCTCTCAGCCTGGCCGGGAGAAGCCCTTGGAGGATTTCCTGCCCTCGCACTTCAACTACCTGCAGTTTGCCTACTACAACAGTAAGCAGCTCGTTGCCCCATCCTCTGTTGGCCATTGGCACTGGACATCGTGCTCTGCACGGGCCATTCTTCATGGGCAGAACTCATAGACTCACAGAATGGTTTGGGTTGGGAAGGGACCTTCAAAGATCATCTAGTCCAACCCAAGATGCAGGGACATCCTGCACAAGATCAGGTTGCTCAAAGCCCTGTCCAACCTGACCTTGAACTTTTCCAGTGATGGGGCATCCACATCTTCTCTGGGCAACCTGTTCCAGTGTCTCACCATCCTCATCATAAAAAATTTCCTCCTTATGGCCAACCTAAACCTACCCTCTTTCAGTTTAAAACCGTTGCCCCTTGTCCTGTTACTACAAGCCTTGGTAAAAAGTTGTCTCCATCTTTCTTGTAAGTCCCCTTTATATATGGAAAGGCTACAAGAAGGTCTCCCTGGAGCCTTCTTGTCTCCAGGCTCAACAATCCCAACTCTCTCAGCCTTTCTTCGTAGAAGCGTTCCATCCCTCTGACCTTTTTTGTGGCCTCCTCTGGACCCACTCTAACAGGTCCATGTCCTTCTTGTGCTGTGGACCCCAGAGCTGGACGCACTGCTCCAGGTGGGATCTCGTGAGAGTGGAGCAAAGAGGGAGCATCACCTCTGTTGACCTGCTGGCCACGCTTCTTGTGATGCAGCCCAGGACACTCTTTGCTTTCTGGGCTGCAAGTGCACATTGCCGACTCATGTCCAATTTTTTGTCCACTAGTATCTCCAAGTCCTTCTCTACGTGGCTGCTCTAAACCCATCCATTCCCCAGTCCTTACCTATACTGGTGGAGGACCTTCCACTTGTTGATCTTCATGAAGTTCACACCGGCCCGCTCCTCCAGCCTGAAATGTGCCACAGGAGAGCTGGATCTCACTCTGCCTGGTTGCAAGAACTCTCCACGTCACTTCAGATGCTCAATTCCTGGGCAGCTTCGCTTTCCAAGTGAAATAACAGCCTAGAGAAGCATTTTTTTTTTCTCCTGCCAACTTATCCGCCTCTTGCTCCAAACCACAGAGGCATCCGCCCCCTCCAGAACAATTAGTTATAACCCAGGCAAATATACCCAATTTTATTTTATTTTTTATTCACCTCCTTAGAAAAATCTAAACTGTTTCTGTGCAAATTTCTCCAAAAGGAGGGGAAAAAAAATGAAAGCCAAGAAGATTGAAAGGCTGCAGTCCTTTGCATGAAAGTGGGTCAGGGTGCTTAAGTGGCTGAAAATTGCGGGTTAGCCTGGAAATGATTGGGTCTTGCTGCCTGGAAATAGGCTTCAAGATGTTTTCCCAGTGACAGAACTACTCAAGCAGTGGCCCTGATTTCTGGTGTAATGATTTCTGGAGGCAGGAAAGCGCCTCGGACTCTTAATTTTGCCTTTGTGGCAGCAGTTGTCTTTGCTCCAGGATATCTGCCCTAGTTGGGAGACCCTTTGGAGAACAAGGACTTTCTCTCTTGTTTCTCCTCCATATCCGTGTTTGCTCTGTCTCTGATGCTCTTGGACGTGCCATTAACAGCGCCGTTTCTCTTTGCAGATGGGAATTACGAAAAAGCCATTGAATGCGCCAAAACCTATTTGCTCTTCTTCCCAAACGACGAGGTGATGAACCAGAATTTGGCCTATTACACCGCCGTCCTGGGGGAAAACCTGGCAGGACCCATCCAACCTCGAGAGGTGAGCGACCGGCTGGGATGAGCCATTTCAGGGACATCTTCTCCCCTCCTTGGGGACCTTTGCAGAGGTTTTGGGGTCTGCTCTGGGTGGATCTGCTCTGGTCCAGCCACCCTTTGGTGGCAAGGTGGGGAGGGATGGACAGATGCAAGACCCAACAAGCGGGAAAATAGCTGAGGAACTGAAAAATGTCACTGACAAAATATCTTTGGCCAAGTGAAGGCTTGATGGCATAAATGGACCAGCTCTTGTGGGAGAGGTTTGTGAGAGGCAGACAGACAGACTTTTTAGGAGGATCTGAGCCCACCTCTGCTACAGACTTCCGCAGCTGAAGTGAAATTGCTTAAAAAGGAGAGGATTTGTCTTCAAAATAGCTGGATCCAGATGCTTGGGTGCTGCCTGGGAGGTGGTAGGCAGGGATGGAGTCTCTGCCCCATGTCAGGTGGAGCAGGGAAAGGAATTTGCTTCTGAAGAGCTTCCTGTAGGAGGGACACACATGTGCCTCTGTCTCCCCCGTCCTCTCCCCAGGGCTCGTCCACATGGGACAGGGAAGTTCATGCAGGATGGGGAAAGCCACTTGCTTCCCGGCTGCCAGAGGGACCGGGAAACCAGGGCTGCGGGTCTGGAGCAAGGACCGCGGGAATGATGTAAACCCAGCACCCTCCTGCCCTCGCTCAGGGTCTTTTCAGAGCCTTCGTGCCATGCCCTCACCCCGTCCCTCTGCCCCTCACCACAGGAGATCCAGGCATACCGCCAGCGAAGCCTGATGGAGAAGGAGCTGCTCTTCTTCAGCTACGACGTCTTCGGCATCCCCTTCGTGGACCCGGTGAGCGGTGCTGGACCAGGCTGGATGCAGTGGCCAGATGGGAGGGGGATGAGGGAGGGGTCTGCGTCCCAGCCAGATCCTTGTCCAGCTCCTGATGTTGTTGTTCTTCTGGCTGCAGGACACGTGGACTCCCGAAGAGGTGATACCAAAAAGGCTGCGAGAGAAACAAAAGTGAGTGCTCTCCCAAGCTGATGGCCAAGCCTACCCAACGGGGAGACCAATGGGACGTACCCCTCTTTCTTCATGGGGTTTGGGCCAAATCCCATGGCCATGGAGCTGCTGTCAGGGAGGTTTTTTGGTGTTGGGTCTGGAAGAGGCTGCTGGAGGGCAGAACTTTGCTCCCCATCAGCCTTTGGGGTGATGGGGATGGGTAGGTCATCCCAAGCAGCTCAGGGTGAGGGATGCGTTGAGATGACTCTCTCCAGCCCTGGGCTTTGTCACCGGCCCCTGGAGACAACTTGTCCTGCCCTTGTCCTGGTGCCCTTCATTTGCGATGCGGGCACAGTGGGGCAGTGGAGCTGATGGCTGCTGCGTGCCCAGGGTGGAGCGGGAGACGGCGGCACGCATCTCGGAGGAGATTGGGAACCTCATGAAGGAGATCGAGACGCTGGTGGAGGAGAAGGCCAAGGAGTCTGCCGATATGAGCAAGTTCATCCGAGAAGGTGTGGAGGGCCGGAAGGGGAGGTGTAGGATGGGGACCTCCATGTCCCCCACTGCCAGGTCACGGTCCCTCCATGTGGGTGGTGGCAAGAGCAGGTGGCAGGACCACAGCTTCCCCCAGCCCTGTACCCCAGGGTTGGCGGCACCCATCCCTGTGTCATCCTGATCCCCTTTGTGCCACAGGTGGCCCCTTGGTGTACGAAGGAGCCAGTGTCACCATGAACTCCAAGACCCTGAATGGCTCCCAGCGCGTTGTGGTGGACGGGGTCCTTTCCGCTGAGGAGTGCCGGGAGCTGCAGAGACTCACCAACGTGAGCACGGGGACGGCAGGAGCGGGCAGGCATGGGACAGGGGGTGCTGAAGGGTCCCATCCTGCGGCTCAGAAGTCAGACTGGTAACACCGATTGGGTTTTGCAGGCAGCTGCCTCGGCTGGGGATGGGTATCGTGGGAAGACATCTCCTCACACCCCCAGCGAGACCTTCTACGGCGTGACTGTCCTGAAGGCCCTCAAGGTTAGGGTGGTTGTGGGGAGGGGGGAGAAACAGGCTGCGGAGACCAGGGAGGCGGGGTTTGAAGGCAGGCAAGCTGCCCGTGCCTGCCCAACCCACCTGGGGCTGAGCCCGTGTCCTGTCCGTCCCCCGCAGCTGGGCCAGGAGGGCAAGGTGCCCCTGCAGAGTGCCTACCTCTACTACAACGTGACAGAGAAGGTGCGGCACATGATGGAGTCCTACTTCCGCCTGGAGGTCCCGCTCCACTTCTCCTACTCCCACCTGGTGTGCCGCACAGCCATCGATGGTGAGCATGGCCTCGGAGGAGTACAGCCCAAGGAGAAGCAAGTCTCCTTCAGCCTCTTGTCCTGTCTGGGTCTCTGCCAACAGCTGGGGTGGTCTGGTCTTGGACCTTTCCTTGCTGCTCCCTAACCGGCTCCTTTTCCCAAAAGGAAGGTGTGGGGAGCTTGTCCCTAAGCCCGGTTTGGGAAGATGAGCGGCTCTGTTGGTTGCCTCCAACACGCAGGTGGCTTCATGCCATATAGAATTTCAGCACTTGGAGGCGTTTGGGATTGGGTGCTGGGAGAGACTGTGTCTGGAGGGCCATGGACGTGCCATGGGACAAGTCAACAGGGGCGTGTGCCACCCGAATGGCCTCTCACTCCTGCGAGTGAAGGGCTTTAGGCTGCAGGTGGCTTTCTTGTCACCTCCAAGCACGTGGCACTTGGGAACAGATCCCAGTCCTGCAGGGACAAAGGGATCTTGATGTGCCAGGTCTTGTTCCACCCTAGAGAAGCAAGAAGGCCGGAGTGACAACAGCCACGAAGTGCACGTGGACAACTGCATCCTCAACGCGGAGGCCCTGGTGTGCGTGAAGGAACCTCCAGCCTACACCTTCCGGGATTACAGGTACCGGTGGTGTCTATCACCCAGAGCTTCTCCACCTGAGGGCGCCATGGCTTGGTGGCACCTGGGTTGGGAGGAGCAGGATGGGAGGGCAACCCAACCTGGGCTCTCCTGCCTCTGGCTCTTGCCATGGTGTTGGAGGAGCTCCCAGTTGCTGGAGCTGTGGCCTGGGGTGATGGTCGCCACCTCCGCTTGTCCTCTGCTTCCTTTAGTGCCATCCTCTACCTCAACGGGGACTTTGAAGGAGGAGCTTTCTACTTCACCGAGCTGGATGCCAAGACCGAGACCGTAAGTAGCTCAGCTCCTTGAGGATCCATGTGCAGCACCAAACCCAGCTCCTGCCTGCTGGCCCCATCCCCTGTGCCACCGCAAGGGGTGAAGTTGGGTTGGGGGGGACCAACTCATCCCCTCACCCACCGGGTGCATCCTGACCAGGGTCTCCCGTCTGTTGCAGGCGGAGGTTCAGCCGCAGTGCGGCCGCGCCGTGGGCTTCTCCTCCGGCTCAGAGAACCCCCATGGAGTGAAAGCCGTGACCAAGGGCCAACGCTGCGCCATCGCCCTCTGGTTCACCCTGGACCCTCGGCACAGCGAGCGGGTAAGCCCCCTCCCCGGCAGTTGGGTGGGTTTTTTGGGGGGGACAGTGTGGCCATGCTCATCCCCGTGGGTCTGCCCCACAGGAGCGCGTGCAGGCAGACGACCTGGTGAAGATGCTTTTCGGTGCGGAAGAGGGGGATTTGCTGCGGGAGACGGAGACGGAACCGCTGGCTGCCGTTGCAGTGGGGAAGGACGAGCTGTGACGTCCCATGGGGACCAGGACGTCCCTGCCGGGACCAGCGACACCAGCGTCGCGGCTTCAGGCTGCTCAGCCGTGGGGCTGCCAGACGGGTCCCCCTTCTGCCCCCAACTGACATGGGATGGGGAATTGGGAGATGCTCTGCACCACCCCTGCAGCGTCCAGCATCCCCCCTGCAGAGCTGCCACTTGACCTGGGGGGATCACAGCTACT